GTTATATGGCTGGGGTATCTCACTTGCCATTTAGTGGACCACATGCTTGTCCGACTTCTCTATCATCTGATATCCAAATATACATATGGATATCAGAAGCCCAACACTCAAAGCGGGAACTTTTAATAGGCTTATGCGATGTACAAGCTTTTATTTTTAATGTTAAAAAGATTAAGTTTTCAATATAATTTAACATAAGCAATATTTTTCATGCATTATTAAAGTATAGGGAAATGACTAGTAAGAATAATATTAGTATTACAAATTTACTTACCAGCTTCTATAACAATGGCACCAGGAACTAGATCAAGTTGTAACAGGATCATACTTATATCTGGTGTGTAAATAATTTGGGTTCGGTGTGGCAATGTAAGCGACCACAGTTCAGGTGTTGGTTGAATAACATGGCCCCAGCCTTTGGATAGTTCTACCTATTTTAAAATTTTCAAAAAATTTAACTAATATATCGCGTTTTACTTGTTATTATATTCTACAATTAGGATTATTTAAAATTAGGTGTTTATAATAAAATCATAAATTGGTGGGGAAATTATTTTATAATAAATGTTTGGAAATAAGCACATTATTTCTAAGCTAGGTGGGTATTACAATACACAAGTAAGTTAATAAAACAAAGAATAAGTACTAATGAGTAACTAAAAGTTTTTAAATACATAATCTAATCATCTTGTGTTTAAAACAATAGAGGTTTTTTGGTGGTTAAACCAAGTTGCCTTTTAATATGAGGTTATATTGGGATTTTATGTAAAAAGTCTACTAAAGAATAAAAAGATTACTTACTCTGCTACCATACTCGATTCCAATGAGATTTTTAACTTTTAGGGCACCAAAAGTTGTTTGAAAAACATTCTCCACCATTTCGCCTTTTTTATTTTTTATTTCTGTTTGTACTTCAATTGCATGAAGATTATTACTGAGATAGAGAATAACTGTATCTCCTTCGTCTATTTTATCTTTATAGCACTTGAAACTCATTGTGAACAACAATTTAAGTTATAAACTCAGTTGAATTATTGTTTGTAAACACAATATTCTTTACTTTGAAGTAGCATTACACGTGAATTTGACAATTGACAAATTTGTCACAGACATTATAAACACATTTTTAAAGAATTATAAAATTATCAATTTTATTGACCAAAAACTGGTAATTCAGTTTGATGACATGAATCGGAAGATATCTAATGAGCCACAGTAAATTACAACGCAATTGTAGAAACTATTAATTTATTTGGTATATTTAATTCCCTTCTATACAACCTTGTCAGTTATCGAAGACAATGTGTTAATTGTCATTTTACATTAGTACGTGAATCGTACAAACAAAAATTAAATGGACATCTGAAAACTGTAAATTTTAAGTGTTTTACGAAAGTTACGCGACATATAACATTAATAAACGAAAAAAAATTGTGTCTATTTATGGGTATGATAACGCGAGAGACTTTTTTTTAAGTTAATGCAAGAATTTTCTTTTCATCCTGTTAAAAATGGTGACTATGGATGCTTCTAAAATGACGAGTAAAACGAGTTCATTAAAGGCTCTTATACTGAAGGCTTGGCGTGAACGGTGGACGGATATACAGTGGGGAATCAATATCAAGACAATTCTACCGAGAGGAGTCAGTGGAGATTTGTACAATCTTGCTGACTGCATTCTTCAACAAGCTATGGTGGGATGTGGAGCTAATCAGTTAGTAATATCTTACTTGAAACATTCCCTTGCCTCCCATATTGTGTCTTATGCTGCAGTGCTCCAGAGAATTGCTAAATTTGACTCATACCATAAGCCATACTGCGTCCTCAGCTTACTAGAATTTTTGGAAAGTTTTATTGACAATGTAACATGTAGAAGTAAAATGGAGGAAGAAATTCTTGCCAACGCAGTTTCATCTATTATACTTTGGCTTTTACAAGTGTATCACTATTCATTAAGCAAATATCCCTCATCAAATCCTATTCAGAGTCAAGAACTTTTAGAGAAGTCAACATCACTCTTAAATTCAATTGTGAGCTCTGATTTCTTACTTGCTATGTTTTATTTAGCAAAACAGAATGATCCTGAAGAGTATGCAGAGGTTACAAAGAAATGTCAAGAGATAACTGGGTTTATGATGATGAACACACAATTTAAAGCCCCACTTACTATACATGATACTCTCCAAAAGATATGCAATATGGTTATTGATAAAATAGCACCGTTAAATAACAAACCAGACACAGTGTCCTATTGTCTACAAGCATTGGTTGCTGTTAATGTTTTAGCAAATCCTAGTGCAGACGTACAGCAGCTCTCAAATCAGTTAATAATAATACAAAGAATAAAATGCTTCAGCTTATCGAGACTGTACTGTGAATTAATTAGAGCTTGCTTTATTTCACTTAATGATGCTAGTAAAGATGCATTAAAGCAAGCATTGTGGGCTGCTTTCACCTTCCTTAAAGTTCCACAAATAATTCAATGCATACATAATATGTCTGGCACTCTGAGCAAAGAGGGAGATTATTCAGTAGAAGTAGTTGAGGCATTTGAAAAACTACTACAAAGTACTCCTTTACTTGATGTTGTTGATGCCAGAAATAGTTGCAACAGTGTTATCTCATTATTAGAACCACTAGTGAAGCTTAATCTTGTTAGTGAGAGCCATTTATCTTATTTTAATCAGAAGCGTGAAGTAAAAGATTTAAAATTACAAAAGTTAGAGCCAACCGGCCTACAAGGCCCTGTCCCAACATTTATCACCAGAGCAGAACCAACTCTAGCAGGCATTCTAAAAACCATGGGTGGTGATTTTCATAAGATTCTTGATTCATTGTATTCAATGCTGTGTCAGATAGTAGGAGGTACAACATTAGATACTATTTTAGCTGTTGCAACAGTTGAAGGTAAACTGAAATTGTTTGTGTCCCGTCTGATAAAATTTAATGAATTTGCTTTAGTTGCTGCTAGTGAAAAAGGAGCCCCTCAGTCCAGAGCATACATATTTGACATAACATTCTTGATTTTGTGCTCAATAGTACAAGAGTATGGCGCTAATGTCGTTTTAGAAGAAAACGGTGATTCATTCTTTGATAAATGGGTTAGAGATTTCATGCCTCAGAAAGGTGCATATAAATGCCCAAATCAAATCTTGCAAAAGTGTGAACAGCAACTAGTTGATATATTTATCCATCACTTGAATGATTTTGAGTTTAAAAATACTAATCTAAAGCCACATGACTTATGTATGAATGTCAGTGGCGTTATGAAAGAGGTTCTTTTTGCTTGGGAACAAGGTTCTCTTTCAACTGCAGATGTCAAAAGGATGTTAGATTCTATGAGACAGAAGATGGCTTCATTGGCTGTCTGTGGTTCAGTATGGTTATGCTCATACATAAATGTAGTACATCAAGATGCTATAGTAAAGCCTATGAATATGGTGCAGCAATTAGCTAATCCCCCAAATGAAGTTGAATTATCTCAAAGTGATAACTTCAAAGAACGAGCTGTGTTGATGTGTTCTATAATAAGGAAAATGCAGTATGATGTACATCCTCCTACTGTTCCCAAGACTAAGTCTATCACTCTATCTCATTGCATAGTTTCTTCTCAACCAATTTTAGAACAGTTACACACTGTTTGGGATGATATAAAAACAAGAGGGTACTTGCACATTGATGCTACTCACATAGTTCAAAGTGTATTAAATACAGCTGGTCCCGTTTGGTTTGTGACTAATCTTATTAAGGAGACACTTAAATTCAGACACCAAGAAGATCTCGATCGGTCAGTAGACATTATTCTAGCAATATTTCACTTAGATATAGAGAAGTGTACAGAAGCTCTATTGCAACATGTGCTACCACAATACCTGTACAATGCTAAACTAATTGAAGAGTTGGTGGAACCTCAATCTACGGTACTAGCAAAACTGTGTGTGTACTGTATCTTTGCTGCTCTAGAACAAAGTATGACAACGAAAACTCTTGGTTCTAGAAAGCGTAGGCACGATGATTCAGATGACTTAGATGCTATAACGTCAAGTAAATTACGAAGATTAAATGACAATTCATCTGATAGTTCTGTCTATCATTCTCAAACACAGAGTTCAACAGGAATCATTATAAAGGAGCCTCTGCAGTCATCTTTAGATATGCTTTTTCAAACTTTTTCCCAATTGGCTGGTAAAAATGGCCAAGTTACCCCCCAAACACAGTTTATTCTCCAATTCTTGATCTTTATAATTCAGTGTGGACAGGATAGAGCACAGTTAATTTTACAGAAAATGCCAAGTGAAATAGTCCCTGTGTTGGTTAAAGCGCTCCCAGACAGTTTTACTGTAGGCATTATTTTGAGATTATATGACTTAACTACCCCTTACGGCAGGAAAGATGCTGCCAGAGACTTATGTTTGTTACGGAATATGCGATTAAGACCTGAATAAGTGAAATATGTTATATTTTTATGGTAAGCTTAATACATAGATATTAATTACGATATTGAGTTTTATTTATAATCTCTAGGAAGTAGGAATGGTGCGTCACAATAAAACAAATGCAGTATTCACAATGATTTATTTAAGCAACATTTTACTACTGAATACTTCATTTTGTTTATCAATACATTTCTATGTATAAAGAAATACTTATTATTTTTTCTCCAATCATTCAATTTACGATTTTTTTAAGAACAACCTAATTTCATTAAGTGAATATAACAAATTCAATTTCCTATATAATGAGTACTTTAGCAATTCTTACAATACAGAGGCGATAATTGCACAATGACAGTAACGTAAAATGTAAGTATATAATTAAATTATTATATTTATATCTATTTACAAAAATAATACATATATTTCACAATATATCCATCACATTTGATGCGATATGACTTATTGGACGGTAGCGTTATATTTTGTACATTTATATTATTAGCAATAATAATTTACATCTTATACTATCTACGTATTTTACAAAAAAACTTATAAACACGAAGATCACAGGAGAGTTCCAGAATGATTGCCTACCTATTTCATACAAACAATAATACATTAAGACATAAAGGTAACAAGAGAATTATCTGCCTAATGCTGACAAAATGAAGGTAGAAGATAACGGCTATAATGCAGGTTTTTTAGCATCCGGCGAATCAGGGTGTGGACCGTCTGAAACAAATATATTTCTTGAAGATCTAATTCTAAGCAGGTACTCTTAATTACTATGAGTAGGACGTCAGTTAAATGCATCAATAGTTCCGTAACAATTAACTTAAATACATCTATATATTTTGTGTGTTATTACATATAGCAATAGTAACACGCACTAAAAGAATCTCGTACAATAATTCTACTTATCCAATTTGAATATAAGAAATCTGAGACTGAGATAAACATTTTTTGAGAAAGCTATTTTAAAACACATAGACAATTGTTAGTATTTTGTCATAAATATGTACGACACTTTTTTTATTTAATAAATTGCCATAATTAATAGAAGGTATATATATGTTTCACAGTGTAGTAATTTAAAATGTCATTTATAAACTTACCAATTTGCCGTCGTAAGATCTCTGCCTCCGCTGGTGTCACGTGCTCAGGTGGAGTTCTGCTAACCCTCATCGTTAAGCTTAACCTATTAGGATTACAGTTCTCCTCAGGCGCTCCTTCAGTGTATGTCCTTTCACTTCTCCAGGTTTGCTGATAGGAATTCTCTGAGGTTACTGTGCTACATCTATTGTTAGTGTGAGGAACGTACTGTTCAGGTGACCAGTCAAAGACGAACGTATGGCTATAGTTATGTGTATAAGCTGATGGTGTCCCTGAAGGCGTTGGTGGCGTGGTAGTCACATATGGACTTAGATCTTGATGGCACACATCGGGCACCTTCTGCACAGCTGATTCAGACCATGTTGGACTCGGATTCCATTGGTCGATTTCAGTTTCGGATGACGCAAACTTAGATCCTGGCCTTCGACTGGCTACTGTTCCGGCTACGGCGACTAAAGTATCCCCAGAAGTATTTACAAAACGGGGTGACATATTAGGAACAGGCGTATTTGGTTTCTCCTCTGTTTTGCTTTTCTTTTTAACGTTTGGTTGCAGCCGCGTATCCTCAATCCGTATATTGTGGAACCTGTAATGGAAATCTGAAGTTAAATTGATCTATATTGTCTCACCAGCTGAACAGAACTTAGATGCAGGTAATACTAACGCATCAACACTTAGCTTGTAATGACATGAACTACATATGAATTATAAAATATAAAAATAATTATGTACAACTGTACTGTGTAGTGTAGCTACCTGCTATCTTGAAGAGAAACAGAATAATCCACCGGTCCAGTGTCCGGTCTGTCATACGCATAATGGATTGGGGCTATATGCGGTGGTACGTGTGTTAAATGAGGTTGTATCGCTGCGTTCGGCATCATCACCGGCTGGCTTCCATTGATGCAGACTGGAGGTGTGGAGTACTGCATCGTTGGTGGGTAAACTTGGATATCTGGTGGCGGTGGGCCGTACATCCTAGTGGCCGCCTCGTACGCCAGCCCGTAATGAAGCTTTGATTGTACCGCATAGTAATGATAGAGCCAAGGGTTTGCCTTCATTACCGCTGCTTCCTGTTCGCTGTTGACAATAGAGTTGCTATAAATATTCTATCTCTACGCAAAGCATTAATATTACGATAATGCACTTGGAATAGCGTAATAATAGATACAAAGAAAATGCGTTTGAATCGGTCCGCGCTTTTTATTGCAACAAGTATCCTACCATCAGCATATTTCGACTTTGTTACATGTTTTGCCCATTAGTGGGAACGGAGAATGGGTACCACTAAAGTTTAATGTTTATATCAAGTAGTGCGAGAAGATATGTCGAGGACCCATGTGCAAGGATATCGGATTTAAACTTGTATAAGATTTGGTTTGAATATAGACTAATAAGATAAAAGATAAAATTACATTTCGGAATTCCTATACTAATACGATTTCACATTATTGAAATGGGTGGTAACTATAAAAGACGGTAGAAGTAGTCTCTGGTAAATTATAGATTATTTTATTTATTTGTAAATACATTATAGATGTTAAGAAGAATCTCGATATCATACAGAAGTTCAAAATGTATTTGTCAATACTCAGATTCAAATTGACAATTGTTGAGAGATATTTGTAAGCAAATCGTAAGACCTTTAAGCTAACTCGGGCTGAGTCAACCTTTAAGATAGTGGATTTAGAGAATGCCACATAGTTAGACTTATTCCTGGATAAAAGGTATAGTAGGTAAAGTAAGTATAAAAGGGTAACATTATTGAGAAAAGTTATAAAATTTAAATAAAACACTTCAACGGTTTAAAACGCGATATATTAGTTAAACTTATTTGAAAATTATTTTTAATTTCGGCCCGACGTTTCGAATGCAAATATAAATTGTAAAAAAATATAAATTGATTTTATCAAGTTGGACCCAGTGGGAATCGAATTCACGACCCGTTGATTATATGTTTTTTTTTAATCGTAACAGTACTTCGAAATCAACAACTTCTTTAAACTAACTGGAGAATTGAATACATATATTTAAATTACTTTAATGGTTAATCATTAATTAATCTAATTATTTTATATTTGAATGCCTAAAAATTATAGACGTAATATTTTTTTCTTTATAGTATAACTATTTTGTAAATATGCCTTTTAAGTAGATGTCAACGATTCTACACAAGATATTTCTAGGTTTGTTGAGGACAAATCGCTTGAGAATTACATTAGGAGATAGCAAGGAATCAAAGGGTAAATGGATAAAGTGGACACGTTGCGCATAATGAAATTGACCTTCACAAGTAAACGTGATTCATTATACTCCTAGATTTGATGTGAGCCTAGTACTAATTTACTTAGACCACAGTAATTATAGGACGTACGTATGATAATAGTGGGTATGTGTTGTACGCGTATATATTATATGCAATCTTTAGTTTATTTTGAATGATAAAAATGACCCGGCGGAACTCGAACTCACTACCAACTATGTTCCATTCGAGGTGATCGATTTTCTCGATCTCTTTATACCTCTCGCGCAATTTACCCAATCTTGATCTGAGACATATCTTCAACTTTACGACAAAACGTAAATTTCGTAATAAACTAAAAACATACAAACATCTTCTATTAAAATATTACTCGAACTTGTTAAAGTATTGTCTTAAATGTACTTAATTTTTTAAATCTTTGTCTTAGTACAAGAAACTTTAGCGATTACACGTAAAACTTCATTTTGAGAAAGAAGAGAGTAGAAATAATCGGTGGCAAATGTTAACTAGCGCAAAAATAACCTTTGTTAAACGCTAACTATACAGTGTTAACGGTTTAAAACGAGGAATATACTAGTATTATTTTTCAAATACTACGATGAAAGAAATGACGCGAGCGTAATAGTTAGCAGCCACGGCTGCTGCAAAGCGTCGGGTCGTACTTAAATTACATTACAACATTAGTTCACTTACACTAATATATTTCGCGTTTTAAACCACTAAGAGTGTTTTATTTAACCCTAGTTACATTTCTAATAAGTATACACAATATTCAGTCAAGGCACTAAATTAATACCATTAAAAGCGGCTTTAGTTACGACAGATTTTAATTGTATGCGTAAACAGTAAACAAGTCGCGAGCTATGCATAACAAACTTAATGGAATATTGAGGAGCGTATAAATAAGTATATGCTCGTTTCCCGCCAATTTGCGACCCTCCTTTGAACGCATAAATCTCGCGGACATAACGTAGGCGGCAGACATGATGACAATTTGCGTGGCTTTTGAGACTTATCTTATAAAAACGAGATGAAATTGCACTTTGCATATTCTAAGTAAACTGTTTTTCTACTTATTCACTTTGTATGTTAACACTTTATTGATATGCCGTGTCTGTATATTTACAAGATTAATTTTTAAGATTTTTCCTATGTTATTTATAATCTAAGCCATGTCCATGTATATTTTGTTGCAACCCAAGTCTTATTTCTGGGATCAGGTGTCCTTTCTCATAGACGTAAAGAATTATGTAACATAATAGAAGACACGGTTGAAAGTCTTATACCCAACTTGATGTTTCAGAGGTTTTGGCGGGCTTTTAACACTAACAGCACAAAATTAGCGATGAACGCCATTCTCAATTTGCTGCTAGGGGTCGTTGGTAATACTTTCTACTTCTTCACGTCAGGCTAGTAAATACGGTCTGTAGTTACGCGGGTAGTACACATTTAAATAAAACACTTCACGGTTTCAAACTAATACATTTCGCGTTTTAAACCGTTAAAAGTGTTAATCAACTTAGGATCTTAGACAAATATTTGTGAATGATATTAGTATGGTTCAAAAGCGTAAACCGGTATCTTTTATTGTATACCATCGCTGTAATAGTACGCGTGTTAAGTGAAAAGCTCGCTACGACACGTGATAAATGAAGCAACTACACGACAATGCGACTAAGAATCAGAGGGACCGAGGTATGTCATAATGGCCTAAGTTGTTAGGAGTTATGCTCGAATTGGTCCAGTTGTTGACTCGTCTAGTGACACATCCGGAAACTTAACATTTTGAAGGATTTATTGATATTACTCAAAAGATGCTAATCACAAATATATGTACCTACATAAAGCCTCACTACTCATAAAGCCTTAATTATTTTGACGTTAATATTTAAATTTGAAAGTTTGGTTTCATAAATAATTATAAAGATTTCTTTCACAGGCCTTTTCCTCGACAGATTTGAAGTAAATATTAAAAGTGTACTCATCTGGTTTTGAGCAAACTATTTATTATAATTTAAAAGTTTTAAGCGATAGTTTATCTTCTCTTTTTATAATAAAATGAAAAAAAGAGAGAATGACATGCTAAGGGCATTCATTGGAGAAGAGTAGGCCTCCGCAAAAATATGAAGGCATTTGGAAAACTCTCCAGGGAAGAGCGAAAAATTAAACACTTTGCTGGCTTGCAGCTTTTTATAAAAGCTTAAACAACAGCCAGTAATATATTTTATTATGATAGAGGAGGATAGACAAGCCTGGGTAAAATACCCCAGCCTGATAGCACCTCAACAAGATGAGCTCCATCTATGCTTTGGACATTCGGAATTGTGAATTAAAACTTTACGGTGTTTTCATCTGTGAACAGTGGTTCGTGACCCGGATGGAATTTCGATATTCTTACCACTCACTATACTAGATTATTATAGATTTCCAGACGAAGTCTAACATGTTTCGGAAAAATTTTAAACATGTTGGACCCGATGGGGATTGTACTCACGACCCGTTGATTATTAGCCATACATTGATGCCATTAGACCAACGGGCTCGTCGAATATGAGTATAATTCAATCTATATCATTGCAAGCGAGTGTACAACCACCTTTAGGCGATTGTTTGGGTCAAGCGGGCTGTCACCTCGCCGATATTAATTTAGATTTACAATCTCGGAGAGTCAGTGCCTACAAGGGACTAATTCGCGTCTTAGTCACTGCATAATGAGCTAGTTAACGGATAACTGAATTATATAGCTGTCGGTGGCTTAAGGCGTGAACTCGCCGATATTAATTCAACTCTCATTAATACCCAGCTAGCGTTGTTTCTACCTAATTGATATTTATTATAGAAACTGTGACAAATAATTAGAGACACTCGGAATTTAATAAAGTATATTCTTGCCACATCGCCAAGTGTAGATAAAGATCGGCCATGTTTATCTCGTTGATTGTGTATCTGACATTAGTTCGTAAATAGGTTCTATTCTCGGTAAAAATAGATTTCAATGTATAATTGTGACTATCATAATATATACTATAATTCTTATATCCAAATAATAATTAAAAGCGAAACCTTTAAACTGGCTTACTGATATCTATTTCATCGACTATCGTAGTAGCTATACGTTTTCATGGATTAATAAACAAAATATTTTATTTACCATAGATAATTTGGTGATGTCTGATGTTGGCATGGTAATGTCAAAGAACACATTAAATAAGTAAAGTGCTCTAAAAATAAAGTAAGAGTATATAAATTAATAAAAAAATAATAATATTTAATTAATAATTTTATTAGTGCTCAGTTGTTTGTCAGAAAACAATGTCATTGAGTCTTTTATGAAAGTAGTAGCCAAAATTGAAATAACTTTGATCTTGTTTAATTTAAATAGTTGTATTTTTGATTATTTATTACAAACGCAATTCAAAACACCACGAACGTTCCATAACACGATGTTATCGATTTCAGCAAAGCACAAAACAAACTAGATTCAATTCTCTCAAAGCAGATAGCGAGGTGTGCAATTTACCGGGATTAGCTGGTTTTCGCGTATTTTCTATAAAATATGAAGAGTTCGCGGAGCCGTATCGATCAGAGGCGGTGCTTGTTAAACACCGTTTCTCACATCACAACAATAGCCCTGTGCTAGCATATTTCAAATCGGATAGCAACATCTTCGGCCCGATCGCCTAGACTCGACTTCATAAATCACCCCCTTACAATATTTATTCGCTCTATCTCCTACTACGGACGTTGTTCGAGAATTCATAGAGCTATTGGAATTGAAATTATATATTTTTATAATTTTTATTTATTATTCACTGCTTTTCAGGAAGATAAATTTAATATTGATTCTATGAAAGACAATGAAAGTGAATCGAACACATTTCTGTGTCTGTTTACCTAACAAACATGCTATAGTTTCCCCGGGCTTCCAAGACAGGATCTTTTACTTTTAAGGCACACTAGGGATTACAAACAAATACATACAATTTAGCTACAGTGGCGGTCTAAAAGACAGTGGGTAAGTTTTTATTAAAAAATGAATGATTGTAAAAAAAACATTTATATTTTAAAAGACATTTAATAGATTCTTGAAAATGTTGTAATTAGAAACAGAAAAGTCAAAACAATTTCAAATCCGTAAAAAAATATTAACGTATTAAATTGATAATGCGTCGTTAATAAGGAATAACAAATCATAATATTATTTACGCAACGTGCAATCGTTTGCTAGTGAGTTTCTCACTACATTCTACAGAGATAACACAGATTTCACATTCGACTATATAACACAGATGGTAGGGGTCGGTGTTTACGCGAGGCTACGTGCTACGTCTCGTATTGATATCTCAATAGGGAAGTTTGAGTGCTTTAAATTATGGCAGCAATTTTTCAAAGTCGAGAGAACTATGCGAGCTGGAATTATCTTTCGCTTAATAGAACAGCTTTAAGGCCAATTATTTGTTGCTACATTTTTTAACAAAGGCATTAATCATAATGCATAGTATTATGTCGTAAAGACGCGTACGTAATACATACCTACTGTATCTAAATGGTTAAATGTGTGTCTAGCATTGCGTTAAGTGCGAGCGGTCCTAGGTTCAAGTCCCGGGAAACAGTATATTGTTTCGGTTAGAGTTTGGTCAATTACTTGTCTGTAAAAGAACCGATTAGTGGAACAGACACATAAATGTATTCGCCCCATGCCCCATGGCCATTTTAAAGTTACATACCAAGTACTCAGATGAGATTGCTTATTTCGTTATTATATAAATAAGACATTTAAGATATATTCATCAAAAAATTTTAATATTACTATTAACAAACTTTCGTCGCTTAGGTGTGTTAGAATTTCCTTATAAATCTCTATTTTTATTTTCTATTAACCATTTTTTTACATTTAGTTTAATTTACTGTATAAAAATGTCAAAATACGATTAAACGGTATTAACACACGAACGCGTCATTCTATAGTCTGTTAAAATCTCAATTCCCATATAGTACCTACCTACGTTGTCGAACAAATAATTTCCGAGAAAATTGACCAATTACACGTTAATTCATAATTACCATCTGCCGTACTCGGGCACTGAGGCCGTAATCATAATACCTCGTCGGCTGTTTACGATAAATACCATCGCAGCCTTTGCTCTGCCTTCACATGCTTTTAACTCAATTACAAGACTAAGACGCAAAGATGTCTTTATAGCCCCGCTACACGTCGTTGGAAACGAAAAATTATTGCATCATGAGCGTTTTATAACTTTTAAAAGTTCCTAATATGTTTTTTTTTAACGGAAGAGACGTATCAGAATGTATATAAGGAAACATTATTGGTACATGCGTTGGAAAACACGCGTTGAAACAACTCCTTGGTTGGCGTTATAGAAATGTGTATAATCTTCTAATACTAGATTAACACGGGAGTAATACATATTTAAATTACACTGTAACGGGTGAAACCGCGAAATATGTTAGTTAAACTTATTTAAATTTTATTTCAACTATGGCCCAAACTTTTCTCTGTGACCAAGACTGCTGCAAAGCATCCGAAACTTTTTAAAATGTAAACGAAAAAGTTTGAAACCAAAGTTTAACTTATATTTTTCGCGTTTTAAACCGTAAAAGTACTTTATTTAAATAGATTACAAAGCTTAACCAGGTTAAAAATAAGAGCCAAGTCGTAAAAGAGTGTAAGACAAGTATCCCATTCTTACCTTAACACTTGATTGGTACAGACTATTACCGGTCGTTGAGAATTCTCCAAGTTGTCTTTGAGTTGTAAGACAGCATGGACCCACAAGAATTGCCCGCATCGTCTCTGTAGCCTCAAAAGCGCTATACACGACCTCTCTTGCTCTGACTGCGTTACTGTAACAAGAAATTATTTTAATATTTTATATGTGAGTAGGGTGCCCTTATTAATTGTTTTTTTTTTTCATTATGGAAGAGGACTTGATGGTATATCCCATCCATATAACATCTAAACAAGCTGCGCAGGCAACATGTTTTGGATATTCGGAAGATTGAAGGAGATTGAAACGGAATCGTGATTAAATCGGGACAATTTTTTTCATTTTTGGACGGTGATACGTGACCTAGTCGTGATGTCCTACCACCCATTTATATATAGATTTCCAGAAGTCCAACATGTTTCGGAAAAATCAGAAATTGTTAAAAACGGTTGGACCTGGTGGGGATTGCACCTACTACCCGTTTATTATTTCCCACTCATTGCTAGCATTATATCAAGGAGTCCCTCCATATAGATACTTGAAAATATTAATATATTTCGCATTTATGTTGTTTGTAATGCACTGCTTTAACCAATTCTGTCCTATTCATCATCGTCAAATTTTTCAACCTATTGTACACACTTGCGACAGTTACATAAAAGTAAGGATACCTTTTCAATCTAAAGAGATTCTTAATGTCTATAGATGTATTTTTTAAATAATATAGTAATAATATAAAGAACACACACAGAAGTAGGTATGTGTCTCTAATTGTCTGTTTAAGTCACTAAATCAATATATAGACTAATTATATGTGTTTAAGAATGTCTTATTACACATATAATACGTATTCGTAAACATCTACAACACATATACGTCTATACGAAGGTTAAACGTAAAAAAAATCATTGAAAAAAAATCATCGTCAATTGGGTGTGAATTGTAATAATTGAATGGCGCTAATATAAGCCTATTGTTAATGAACAGATTATCGAAGCTCATGGCGCACATCCCTATAAGGAACTACAGAAGGATAAACGAAAGTATGCTCTAATACCTTGACTTAACGTTGAAGATTGAATAAATGACAGTTGAGTTAGTGGCTCAATGATATTGTGGAAGTAATTTACGCGATCCACATATGGACTGTGCGTTGACGTGCACCCAAATATAGCAGATCAGGTGTCTCGTCAAAAGTTCTTATCAAAGAGCCATAATGTTTGTTATTAGACGACTTAACAAGTTTTATGTAGCGTTAAAAAAACTTTTAGAGTCTATAACGAAAGAACGACTCGAAGCTACGAAACTTTAGTCATTGAGCTAACGTACTCCTAGTTTCACGTAAAGCTTACAATGCATTTTGAGAGATTTCACAAATTTGTTTTATATAACTATTTGTTTTAGAGACATCGACATTTAGGTTAACTCTTTCAAATTGAATTTCTTTTACTTAAATATAATTTATCTTAATACGCAAATGCTAAGGTAAAAGTTACGTTGCACGAGAGATGCACGTATAAATAAGTTGAAAAAATTCGACGATGAGGTGCAGGACTCGATAGCTCATTGGTAGAGCACGGAACGCTGACGATGCCGGTTTAAGTCCTGCTGGAGTCGAAGATATTGCAATATATTTTCGATTTTTAGATTAAAATTATAACTCGTCAATATTTATTGTATTAGCCCTATACACTATTGATATTTATATTCTATGATATGATATGATATTGATAGTCTATATCAAAAATATTTAAATACCCACAAATATTTCTCAATTGCATCGATTTTTAGTTCGCATTGAATACAGTGAGAATATTCATGCAAATCACACGGCAATTAAATCCAGCCCGGTTGATTAGTATTAAAATATGAAAATTGTATTACATGATTGTACTATAAATCACGAGAGGTAGAGTGCTGAATGAAATATTGCACTTATCCAACCCTTAAAGGGATACATTAATTGAATATTTACATTATAACTCAATCGCTTTAAATAATGGAGATATAAAAATAATTCTTTCTACGTCTTAATTGCACAAATCAGAATAAGATGTGAGATAATGTAGAAATATTAATTTAGCTAGTCCCTTTTATAGTTCCCATCGCGTCGATTGGGACTTCGTATGAGTACGAGTATTAGCTTACCTCACTTGCCAAGTGCGTGTTAGCACATGACAAATTGTGGTCAACTTAGTATTTAGCACATATCGGGTTCCGCAACATATTCTGTAAACACAGATTATAGATACGGATCCTCATGCTTGTTCAATCTATGGACGCGTCCGAGCCATAGAGCATCTAAACAAGATCATCAAATTTAGGTGTGAGCATATGTTTCTTTTTCTGGTCTTCTTTGTGTACGCAAATTCTTCAAACTTTATCAATATGTGCACGACTAGATATTGAACTCCCGGCTTCAGTCTACTGTAAACATTGTGTCTATGGTGCAAATTGAGTGTCACCTGATTGGCACCGTAGAGAAACAACTTTAATTTTTACATATACTCCGGATGCTGGGTGCCCTGATGGCAAAAGGTAAAGGGGAAGACCAGCATTAAGATTGAGGTGATATCGTTAAAGCTGCTGGGTCCTAGTGGAATAAAGAATCAACAATAGAGTTTTTTGAAGAGCATAGGCACCTTTACTCTTAAAGGAGGTCTATAAAATTTATACAGATAATAAAATAAAATATAGAAATAATTATGTATTCAAATTTAAATAGTTAAATAAGTTTGTTAACATTTTTTTTTATATTTCTTTTATTATCTGTGTTTAGCAAATAAAGCTTCTTTTTATCATTTATTTTTTCCAAGATCTATTTACGTTGTTTGCAAACTTAAATAATGTCAAAAGTTTGAAAACTTTATTATTTCTTACATGTTATTGCACATGAAGGCACTATAAAATTTAAAAATTGAAAAAATGTTCGTTGATGAACGTTCGATTTATTTATTTTAAAATTTCAAATGCGCTTATTTAATCAAATGCATTAATCATATATATAAGTATTACATGACATTATTACCGCAGTTGTATTGATTTCAAAGGTTCGCCAGTGTCGCATGAGACCCGCAATAAATATGGATTGGCCTAAGGTCGCAATTAAATATGCATTCTATTTGCTCTACAGGACATCCGTGTGGGCTTAGGACCTTCGCTTTAATTGTATTTTATTTATTGCGCTCCGTAAATGTGTCTCGTGTTAGAGGAACTGACCTTTGAACTCAGGCGTAAAATAGGAGAATTAGTTGGATCGTTGTATAATAGTGGAAATACTAATAGAATCAACTAATATTAAAGGTGGAAGAAGACAGACAAGTATATGGTTCATTTGATGGTAGGTGGTGACATATCCCAGCCATATAACATTTACACTAGATGCGCTGTCGGATGTCTGCGCGGAAATAAACATAATGAAATCGAAACGCGATTAAAGTACTCAGCTTTTTTATTGTTGTCTCAGGTGGAATTTTGATATTCCTACCACGAGTTCAACATGTTTTAGAATAATTATAAATTGATTAGAAATATTTCGGATCTGGTGAGGATCGAACGACCCGTTGATGATCATTACCATAATCTTAAGTTTCCTTTAATTTACACACATCCTCTTTACGTTTCAATATATTCAGTTTAATATAAATCGGTATAGTTATTTTTGTGAGAAAAACTAACAAACAACTTCGATCCCCACAAATTAACACAACTTGGTTTAGTAATAACAGGACGTAGGATGCATTGGCTTCTAATATTTAAATAAGACAATTTTGTACGTTTCTAATATTTACGACGATGTAGGCGTACTTTAAATAGGATACATAATTTATTATTTTGAAAATGTATTTGTTTATCAATAGTTTAGATTAATAAGAATAAGCCATGTAATGTCTAAGTTTTGGGGAAATTGAAATCGAATTTTTCAATGTTGTTAATTATCTAATTTATCACGACTACTACTACTACTATAAGATCTGGTAATAAAGTATCATGCTAATAAATAGTGTAAATAAAGTACCCAGGTAAAAAATACTGAGTAAATAGCGTGCGACAGTCCGTATCCGAAGAATGCTATAAATCACTTAAGGCGTTGATTAAATTAATAACAATTAATACTTTACATCCGTACAAGATATTTACGTTTTTATTTACCTCATGCTTTAATAATGATTTTTAATATCGTTTGTAGGTTACGCGATTTTTAACGAATTAAAACACGAAATATAATAGTTGACTTATTTTACATTTAATTCAACTTCTTGCCTACGTTTCGGATGCTTTGCCAACTGTTTTTAAAGGCAAAAGAGCTATGGCACCCTCCATCTTTATTCCCCCCATGAACACGGCTAAGTGCAAAGCATTTGGAACGTCAAGCCTTTGTTAAATTACTTTAACAATAAGTTAACTAGTATATTTCGCGTTTTATACGTGTTACAAGTGTTTTGAATTATTATTTGATGTATATCATAGAAAGACGTTACGTACGAACGTAGACGTATTCGTAGAATTACAACCCTATCAAAACATTACATATTAAAAATCAAAAAACTATTTTGTAAACAATAACTCATAACAATATTGATAAGATCGGGATATTCTCTTTAACTTTTTCATTATCTATGATTTTTTTTTATTAATATCTGTTCTGTGTTGGGTATCTCTTACCCAAAAAAATCATCTATACTAATATATAAAGCTGGAGAGGTTTTTGTCTGTTTGTTTGAACGCGATGATCTCAGGAACTACTAGTTCGAATGGATTATTTTTGTGTTGATTAGAGCATTTATATTGAGGAAGGCTATAAAACTACGCGCTGTTACTAATAAACTTGTCAATAATAACACGCTTTTAACATAACGCCTCATTGTTTGTTGTGTTTTAAACCCATATCAAAACCATATCTAAAAATACATTAGTACACACATGACAGATACAACATATTTTATGGCATTATCGAGTTATTAGATTATAGAGCATGAATATTAGAATCAAACATGCTCTGCCCTTACAGTAAGCGGCCATTTAATTTCCTACCATACGTCATTGTATCAAGACCGAGTAAACTGCGCAGGAGTGGTTTGCGAAATAGTAATAAGGGCTCGGGTTATTTGTGCAATCTTCAATGTTGGTTTTAGATCGGATTGACGAGTTGAGATTGTGGTTTATAGCAAATAGTTTAGATTCTAGTACTTGTATGCATTGAAATGTTGCATTCCAAATTATTCTTTGTTGCAGACATATTTCAACTGACTTCCAATGGGAGATAATTTTTTTTTAACCTAATGATGTTCAAGAAAGAAATAGAATAGAAAATAATGCACAAAAACCATTGTAGCATGCATACAAAGATTACGAATTTCAGTAGAGACAGGCGACGTCGTAAGATAACTACAATCTATCTTTGTCACCTATATTGGCAAAAGTATAAGTGTGACCTTTTGACCTTCACATGTTCCACGCTGTTAATATATATGGGGATTGAGGTCATTGGAATATAAGCGTCTGCTATAAGACTAATATTACGATAAGTATTTATGCAGCTAAAGAGGTATTTTTCAAAGCAATTTGTCCTCCACAAAACTTATTGTCCATTGATTTAATCGCTCACGTAGAAGGCGAGCGTATTCACGAAAGACACGCGCGCGAACGCGTCAAGTGCACTTTCTCTCGAACGTGAGTTTAGACGAAAGATTAACTCTGTTGACACATATTATTATAATCTATGGTCGTTACGTGGTGCGATGTCAATATACAATGTAGAATAGTGTAATACCGTCTTCATGGGGCGCTTCACTTTTAAAACGGTCCAGGATTTAAACCCAAGACCGCGACGCGACGCTTAACACAATGCAAGATGTGGACATGGAAAATATTTTTTTACACTATAGATAACTTGCTATAACGAATGTACAAATGTTAGTTAAATTGTAATACAAATGTTACAAAATTTTAGCATACCTACATTTATTTTAAGACACATATTTAGTCTCTTTGTTAGAACGAACATTCAAATATTTGCTCAAGGAAAGCACACATTCATTAATCACTAAGTTATTCTAATTGCAAGTATTCAGGCCGCTAAGGCTCAATTAATCACAGATTATTAGCTAAATGCTCTTGAATCTATGGTACCCTCACCGGATGATTGGCATAGTTTAATGTCAACTTACACTTATATTTATGGATAAGCCGACTAAAACTCAATAAATATTGGATTTCCCAGCTTTGTTTCATAGACTGTGATTTGTGGCGTTTATCTGTTTGTATTAGAATGTTGCGATTTAATCTGTGTGGCTTTTATATGAATGCTTTTAGGATTTTTTTTCTTCATTTATAATGTTATTTTCAAATGCAACGATAAGTTTTTTTTAGAAAATCATACGACAATGTTTATTTAATTTATACTAACGATTCTGCGTCGGTCTTTAGGACACAGAACAAAATTAGACTGCCATTAAGAAATTACTTACGAGTCAGAAACCTTTTCCTGAACTGTGTATTCCTATTCAATGTGTCAAGTTACAGGGTAAGAGGAAGTTGTTGATCTCAATAACAATAGTATGTCAATTGTCAATGTCAGAAAAGGCGGGAAGATTGTAACATTTAAATAATGTTCTTGTGGAAAGTATTAAATGTTTAATATAGAAATCTATCTGTGCACTTCTCTCTTGGCCTTTAAATAAAGTATAATTGGCCGGTTGAAAATATTGAAACAAATTGGTAGGTATAATGGCGTCGCATTTTGTTCCGATGAAACTGATAACTGAGGTCCGGAACGCGGCTAACATTCTACCATTTGCAGTATTGTTTAAAGGGTAATAAAATAACGTGGGAATATAGAACTGTAATTATATTGATGCACCTGAGACGGAGATAAGTATTTAATACTTCACTTAAGTCACGGAGCTCGCTTTAAGATATTATCACCTAATATTTACGAAGGAAACGCTAAAAAATGTGTTTTGTCCTCACGAAAGATTGCGTTTACCATATAGAAATATAGTGCGGAAAAGGTTATTAAAAGCGAACGCTAGAATTTCTTTTCTTTCCTGATGCCTTCTGCATTTGATTAAGAAAGTTTAATAGTACTATATAATTTCCATTGACCGAATTTTAAGACACTAAATTCCTTTAATAGTAGTAGACTTGACGGGGATAAAGTTTAAAGGTTTTCACCATGTAAAATTGTTAAGTAATAAAAAAAATATCTTACTTAATCTGTGCTTGCTTTGAGCTTCCTTACAGCAGTCCGGATGAAGAAGGTGATACCAGCTGACGCCGTGCAGTGCACTGCGATCCCAACCGAGGTGCCATTCACTACTGGACATACAAAACACTACATTATTTTTATTAATAATAACACTTGTACATAAGACCTGACGAGTCAGTCTGTATAAAATGTGAAGTTATGTGATGTAGGACATTTTTAGGACTTAAATATCGTCAAATAAAGTATTTTTAAATTAAGAGATTCTGAGCGTTTTATAAACAAGGACCTATAGTACAAAAAAACAAGGCTGTTCATTAAAAATATATCCTTGCACCAAATACGATAGAATGATATAACCGTCAGTTAATGAAACCAGCTATAAAAAATATCAATGGATATTATTAAAAATCCTATCGGTTTCAAAATGTCGGAACCAGCCTGGAACGTGTAACTGACAAGGCCTGTCTGATTGATGGATTATTTGACCCAAAACGAATATTTGTTTTGCCGTGTCAAGTACACCTTAATTACATTTATCATCGTATCTATAGATCTATTGAACTATCTGGTTTGGAAGTTTTAATTATGTTAATATTTACGGTTGGAGAAATTAATCGCTAACAAATGTTGTAAATATAATTGATATGCAATTGTTTATTTGATATTGTAAGAAATTAATACATTTTTTACGGACAAGTATGTTTATTCTTATAAACATCCAACTTATACTTACAGCTTGTGATCACGGTTTTTGCTTTGGAGTTTCAAAATTGCATAACAAAACCTAAACACATATTGTGACTGTAAAAATTGTTACTCGTTATATAATTAAGAACTCAATAGTAATTTTTAAATAGGTATCGTTATATTTATACCGTTACATAAGTTCATGTTCACTTTAAGAAATTTATTTTGATAATTCTTATCAATTATCCCGTATTGCGTTTGCGCATGACTCTTCGTACTCTCCAAAGCGAGTAATTAATACTTTACCGGGAAGGCGAGTGGCTCTTCTGGTAATATAATTTCTCGCTCGTTATTATTTGTAACATCACTCCTAATTGACCCCAAAATGAAAACCGATTTTAGATTTTTACGATACCGGCAGGACTAGAGCCTGCATCCAAAGCGTTCCTCGCTGTTGCTCAAACCAATTGAGCTATCGTATGTGCGTTGTGGATTAATTTTTATTTATACAGTGCCATTATAGGCATGTAAAAATATTGAAGTTTTGTAATTACAAAATAATACATGTAAAAAACGCAACACCATCAATATTGTTTTAAATAAAAGTGGCGAACACTTAAATCTTCAATAGGATAATCTCGCAGGATTCTTGACATTCACGGCGTGTTTTCTGTATAATTACCTCTCGGTATTGTCGAAAGGTAAATAAATATCACAATATGTCGCATCCGTGACCTCAACCATTGAACCTTCGACGGCTGAGATTAAAGTAAATATTGTTTTAAACGAAGCACAAGAAACATTTTAATAGTTTTATAAAACTTTTCGGTGCTCAGTGCAGTTTGAATGCGTCATTGAGACTGGTTTATTGTTCTATTCGACCTAAGATCTTGTTTTAGCGATAAAAATAATTAAATGCAATATATCGAAGGATATTTATAATCTTGAAACACAAAGGTGAATGCAAATTAAACTTAATGAGAAATAACATATTATGTTTCAAATACATTTCCTGTGTTATGTGACAGCATTTAAAAATGCTGAGCCGAAAACCGGTAAGTATTGAATGTAAGAAAATAAATTTCTTTCTATATCCTGTAATAGTGGCCAGTTCGAGACGAGTTCGTTGGTATATTGGCATCAATGTATAGGTGTTGATCAACCTAAACGTGGGTTCGATTCCCACCGGGTCTAACATTTTTCCAATCAATTTATAATTTTTTGTCTGGATATTAAATGGTGCTACGAATCGAAATTTCTTCCGGGTCACGAACCACCGTCCTCAGATGATAAAGTTTAGTCGCGTTTCGGTTTAATTCCGTATTTTCCTCTGCTGCTCTCCTCTAGCATAAGTTTTAGTGGGTATTACCACCTACTTCACTGTTGAAGTAAAGCTCATCATCAATAAGATCAGATTGGCTAAAGCCACACATTCAGTACGTAAAATCGTTCTGAATTTCACAAAAGAAAAAGACACAAAGCGATGTAAAACTAACATTTTAGAGTTACATCATGACGTATCCCTTGCGACATACAAACGCACGAGCTTTCCAAATGTCTAGATTTAAACAATAATCACTAGATCAAAGCATAGACACAATTTAAATTGCAAATGAGTATTACCAATCGCTTCATCAATTATTTGGATAGATTTATACTTGAATCGTCTTCACATGGCAATATACAGCTCATTTGGTATTCAACAACATTTGAATTACTCGTGTAATTTATAAGGGCATACGATAACATCCATGATAGACTGTGCTATATGTGCCGTAATTATAGTAGGTCAAATATGCACTAACGAAGTAACACTGTAATTTGACCTAGATTCGCCGTTAAGGAGGAAAAATTTGGTCCATTATTTGAAATGTTAGGAAACTTCGTATTGTAATGCATTACTAATTATTTTCTTGGAAGTCGATTGACAACAATATCAAGTAAGACCGCCTCTGCAGCTAAGTAGTGAGAGTGTCTAGGGGCACGCAAGGGTTCCTGGGTTCTAATCCCGAGGACATAATGGATTGTTTCTTTGTCGCAAGAAGTCTGAACGGCTGTCTCTAAATAGAATTCATAGCAATGAGTTCGCACCATGCCCTACTCGTGAAATGGGGTTTCACGCACACTTTTATGCATTGTATAGGCACAATGGAGACTTACAAAAAAATATCTTAATAAATATGGCCTAGTAAATTGAAATTACCTATAGCTAAGATAATTAATAGGCAAATTATCTTAGGTAAAAATAGTTAAATGGTTTATACTAGGAATATTAAAAATTGTGTCCGGGTCGCGGAAAACCCGTGGATAAATGAAAAGCCAAAACAAGTTGTCAGTGCGTCTTGTTTAAATCAGCCCACGAATGTCTGTTCTCCTCTATCACACAACAAAGTTAAATAAAATAAATATGTTCTTAGTAGACATTAACAAGGAAACACAATTTGATATGTTCAAACAAATGTCATATAAACATCGTTTTAGTAATAATTCACATAGTCGGATATAATAACGAACACGGATCGCTACACTATGTTAGTATTCACTTCTTTATCTTTCAATAAAATATTCAGTTTCGTTAGCAAACACTGTTCTACAGATAAGCGTGAAACAATTATACATAAATTATTAAGGTACGTTGCGACGTAAAATTCACATAATATCTAATAGAGACAAGACAAAGATGTTTGTGAGGACGAGTTGTAATGGAATATTATGGACATGACCGGTATGACGTACGACTGTGCGTGAATACACTTCAACACAGAGTCTAGCGGATTTCATAAAGGGTTGTTCACAATGTATGAAAAAAATTGTATTACATTTTTCGATTGCATGACAAACTAACATACATAAGCGAAATTTCTTCAGAATGTATATTAAGTCTATAAGAAACCGTATTTCTGTATTTTTTACACACCTTTTAATCATTGAATAGAATGAGTAAATTGTGTTTGTTTACTCTCTATTTTTTTAAATATTAGAGGAGGACGAACATGGTATGGCATCATTTGATGGTACCCCTGCGTATAACATGTACACAAAATGCGCGGTCGACCTATTTTTTGCTTTAGATATTCGAAATTCCACAGACTGAAACCAAAACGCGATAAAGCTCTTTCACCTGTGGACTACCACCCATTAAAACATGTATATTGCCACCCGTAATTTCTTTAAAAATTGGCCTCTTTTAAATTTACAAGCATGCAAGTATCTAAATAGCGAAAATATTTTTTCGTTCCAGCGTTGCTACAATACGCAGGCGCGATAGCATATTTTTAAAAGTTTTCAACATACGTAAATCAATATATTCTGTAGAAACCGTACCAACAGTAAGTAAACAGCAAACGCATTAATCTTTCATTCTCTCCTTACCTGTTTACCATAACCGATAACCAAATGTTAAGTTGTCTAGCTCTCTGATATCTAAACCTAAAATGCTAATCCCCGCTGGTGTGGACTCGGCCTATATTTCTCGAGAGCTTGTATGTCTGTCATTGTATGCAAAGTTTGCTCGCTTCTGAGCAGGTGACGAGTGTGCCTTTCAAAACAAACAGTCAGCAGGGCTTGTACGTTATTAAATACAATATCTTATCTAAATAGATTTCGAAATTCTTTATGGGGCTTAAGATTGCATTGGGAACTGTGGGGAAGGAATTTGTAGATACATAATTCCTATTTGAAATAATGTTTAGTGGGTGCGTTAGGTATTATAATCATTCTTATTTATTTGTTTTGGAATTGAATATGCCATTTAAATGAGGAGAAGAAAGATAACAACTGTCCGCCATATTTAGTAATTAGAGAATGAAGGATAAATCAGCTATAAATAGAGTTTTAACGCGTTAATAAATTATAATACGTCTAGTAAAATAAATTTACTAAATACCCGTTTTAAACTATTAAAAGGGAAAGGCCGCCCGGCGTGGACATGTACCGACAAGCTTAACTTCACTAGGGTCAAAGACTAGCAAAATATTACTTTTTTATTAGACGTTGTCTGTCTGTACTCTTTCGCTACTATGAAGGATTTAAATAAATTGGTATACTAACTGTATCTAGACAGCGTTTTAAACCGAGAAAAAAGGGAAATTTTTATTGGGAAAAGGGGGTTGAAGTTATGAAAATCGTAGTGTATTCAAAAAAAAACTTTGTTCTTTGGCTTTTTGGGAATAGGGGGGGGGAGTGGGGAGTGAATATAGAATAGAGTGTGGGAGTTAGAGCAGAAGTGATGTGAGGTGAAGTGTTGCAGCAAAATAGCACCTTACAACATAGATTGGCTGCCTTAAATGCGCCCATACATAAATTAATAAACAAACAAGTCACTATTCTACGCGGACGAAGTCGCGGGCACAGCTAGTATTATAAGACACATAAAATGGAATGTCTTTTAACCTCATTATAAGTTTCAATCGAATTTTACCCTAAATTACGATAAAAACACTGTCAACTGCATATACAAATTCAATAATGATAAATAAAATAATAATAAGCAGCGAACGACCTGAATACGCAACCTTTTGAACGTTAGGCATATTTTTAAATGTCTCAGTAAGACAATGTCTTCATGACAGATGTCTCGATCGCCGTCCGCGCAGCCTAGTGACATCGGACCACTGTATTACCATTGCATATTATCTCGACTCCTCTTATTATTTCGTGCCATTGAAACGGTGACAGCATGAATATGAAACAGCGTCAATAGAGACGTTGTCATACATCTGCCACGCTTGATGGACAGTAGCAGGCGCATCTACAATCTTTGTGTTATTGGGGCAAGTCTTCACTGGAGCGACAATTTTAACTACACGAGAAATCTTCAAGGAAAAGCCGATAATACTGGCTTAAAGGCAGTCTACAAATATTGCCAAAAGGAAAAATCTATCAAGGCAAGTTTCCATTGGGATTTTTTTTTAATAATTGTTCCTCATTTCTCCCCCAAACATTACATCTTTGAGGAAATCGTGTAACAAATCCAAATAATTAAATCTAGATTATGATATCTTTATATAAGTTATAGCACCAAATTCAATTCCATAATCCCACTATCCATCATAATTTTACTTAGATTGGATCTTGGTTTTTTGTTAGGTTAGGTTTGTTAAAAATAAACGATGGTTGTTCAAAGATTGCTCAAAATGAGCCAATGATTAGGCCTAAGGTATGGTAAGCATTTAAATGGAAAATTCAATTACAACATTTTTAATCAGCGGTGCATACGCACCTTTAATTTACAATTTCCACAACACTATTCCAACGCCCTTGGTCCTTTGTTTTTGCTGATCACGGTCGTCTTTTCATGTACGACCTTAATATTGCGAGCGAAAGATATCATCAACATTAAGGTCATGAAGCTTAGACTTATTCAAGATTAGCTATTACACATTTGAAGATCCAAGGTAAGGTAACTTGGGCACAACCTTATAACGAGTAATAAAACTAGAACTACTTAGATATTATTTTTTAGTACCGTTTGTGGTGTAAGTACACGTTTATATAAAGCACTTTTAACGGTTTAAAACGCGATATACTATTAAACTTATTACATATAATATCTACACAAGATGCGCTATAGACCTACTTTGTCTTTGGATATTCGGAAATAAAACCGAAAGGCGAATAAACTTCACGGCTTTATCATTTGTGGACGGTGGTTCGTAACCCAAACGGATATTTAATACTTCAACCACCCACTTAATATCCAGATTAAAAAAAAAAAATTAGACAAATTTTGGACCCGATGGCGATAAAACCCACGATCTCAGCATTACACCAACGAGAGCATTAAAGAAACTAATAAACACTGGAATAGAAAAGCATGGTCAACCTTTTCAGTGAATGGTATAAAAACATCACATTTACATTATAGTAAGTACTTACTTAGTATCAATATGCAGTATCTTCATGTCCATGGCATGCACGGTGGTGAAGACGTTGGTGGCGCCATGCACGACGCATTCCCTGGTCTCCGGCATGGCGAGGGGTGTACATGATGCTAGGAACACGGGCTCGTTGCGGCTGCAGAGGGGTAGGTATGACACATAATGGCCTCGTACTAACACCACCTAAACAGATTTTTTTAGCATTAATGTAAGCACTAGAACTCAATGATATGGTGTTGTCATGATTTTTAGGATAAGCTCATTTTGTATGATTGTTTATTATAAGTTTTAGTCAGTAGGTTAATTTATTTTTCTGCTGTCACACATTCCTTTTTTATTACTGAATTTTCATTTGTACCACGGTTGCTTGAAAGATATAGCTATTAAAATTAAAATCGCCGTTTATCCTCAATTTCCATCATTTTTTTTTATGTTTTGTTACAATAAAGAATTTTTTTTTCATGGAAAAGAGGAGTCAAGCTTATTATTAACTTGATAATAGGTGAAACACTACAGCCATATAACATCTGTGTGCTGTTGATCTATGACGCTTTGATCTTAGGAAATCCACAGATTGAAACTGTATGGCGATTATCCTTAACGGCTTCTTGATCTGTGGACAGTGGTTTGGGACCCGGGCGGAATTTGGATATTCCTATATAATATCCGTATTTCCTGTTAAATGTTAAAATAATGTTGGACTCGGTGGGGATTGAACTCAAGACCCTATGATTATTAACCAATCATTGTTACCATTAGCCCAATAAGCTCGACAAAAACTATTAATTACCAAACTAATAATTTACAGAAAGTTATTCGTTTAGTAATTATTTGTACAATACTTTGATTTTCCTACTAAGTTTACTAATGCTATGTGTTTAACATACATATTTTTGAAATTGATATTTCAAAAATGTACTAAGAAAATAGATTCCTCCCAAGGCTGTTAAGTTTTCTTCTACTCTATGTATTTTTGTTAGGTAAAGCAGAAGTTAAGGTAAGTGTTTTCTCTCTACCATATTTACTAATTCTGTCCTATAAGATCACATTGTTTCATACATTCTGCAACGGCTAAAGGTTTCGAACACAAAACAAAGGAAGGTATTATGCAACATGTACCCATCGAAGGTTATCCGTGCCGAATGCTATAAGTGAACGATTCGACTATAACCCGAAATTGACATCAAAGGGAGGGCGTGGCGATTTGACATTCTTCACAGTTTTAATAACAATAGGCCGCGACACAATAGTTCACAGTTCAGTCGGTTACTAAGCTGTTATTTATGGCCTTGGTACTTGCTACATATCTAACCAATGGCGAAAAGAAGTAATTACAAATAAAATTTATATATATGGCTTTATATACTACTACCGACCCGCCCGGCTTCCTCTGGTGCAATGCTGATACTAAATATACTACAGAAAAACTTTGTATATAAAAACCTTCTTTCTTCTTCTTGAATAACTCTATCTATTTAAAAAAACGCATCAAAATCCGACGCGTACTTTTAAAGATTTAAGCGTACATAGTGACAGAAAAAGCGACTTTGTTTTATACTATATAGTGATCTGAAACAATACCCTTATTTTGTAAATAATGTTTGATTATTAAAAGGAAAGAGACAGAACGCTGAACCAGTTGGTTCTAACCATCGTATGGTTACCACTGGACCAACAAGCCACCTGCTTACACAAGTACAATAAATCATAAGTTAAGTGGGTTATAAACGGTGTTAAATTATATGTTAAGTGATTTTGGCATGAGAAATATGATTTAGGGTGTTTTGTGGCATGAAATATGAAAGTTATACAAACAAGATAGATAGGATCAAATTACATATGGTTGCGCAAAGCTGAAGTGAATACAGGCTAGTTACTATTACATAGTTATTATATTTGATAGTTTAAAAATTTACGACACGTTAAAAACGAAATCCTCTCAGTTCTGAGTAACGACGATATTTGACAACGCCTAGAAGAAAAACGTAGTATAGTATATATATAAAATACATAGTTATTTAAGTGTTTATACAAATTCATATTTATACATACACGTTTCAAACCAAATTCTAATTAAATAAAAATCTTTTAACATTTTTAAGTGCTTTTGGTTTAAGTTACGCGAAGTGTATCAGTTAACTTAAAGTAATTTATTGTATCTACGATTTGGAAGCTTTTTTCGGCAGTCATAGGTCGCGGCTTTCCTCTGGTCTAAACCGTTCAAAATGATTTTTTTTATTCATACTAATCGCGTAAACTACAGATCAAATTGCTAATAAATGAAAAGACACGAGTGGGTATACTATAACTAGTGATAAATCTCGTTCCACGTTTTATATTTATACAAGTAATACTGTGCCGAGACCTTATGCTAGACTACGTTTTTAACTCTTGAGGAAGTTTAATATACTGCAGTGTTGCAGCTTTGATTTAGAAGACGTAACGTTCAATTCCTAAATTAATACAAAATGTTGTATCAAGATGGAGGCATGTACAGGAAAATAAAAACACCTTTACGAGTCTCATAATTACCATCATTAACACCCAATAACAGATTTTGTATCAAGATAATCTTATACACTATGCGCGCTTGCGTCAACGCTCCCCGCCTACAAACAAAACCGGATACAAATTCAAATGTCGATAATAACGATTATTATTAGTCGTATGTCGATTTATTAAATGCTAATAATAGATCTATTTGTTATAAATTCGTGGTAAGCGCGGGCGCTTATAAGATACTAATAATATTTATTATCTGGAGTTATAGTCTTTCGTAGAAAAATAAAATGGTGTGCTAAGAAAACAGGACAATAAATGTGGGGAGAAAATCAAAGTGTCTTAGTTCTATTTGCTCAGTAAAATAAAAGGCAAAATTTGGCCTCTCTTTGAGTAAAAGTTGTGTGTGTAAAAATTATTTCGTAGTAACACATAACATACTTAACTTAGCTTTATATTGTGGCAAGTTAATTACGGTCTATTGATAAAAAACTAACTTCTATATTATCCCGATAACCCCGTGAGTCGGCCTCGCTTCGGTTTCCAATTTTATATAACAAAAGCAAGACAAAAATGTTTCTATTTATAATTTTCAACTATAAAATATAATTACAACGGGCATTTATTAAAATCGTCAATCACGGAACCCTAATTTATTTTTTGTAATAGAGGAGGACAGGAAGCATGAGAATCACTTGACGGTAGGTGAAATACCCCAGCCTATTAGCATCTAAACAAGATATGTTGTCGACCTATGTTGGCTTCGCATATACGTAGACCTTTTCAAGACATAGAACTTAGCCAATAACACAAAATAGAAGTGAACAATGCCCAACTTTCTACTAAGATAATACCTAGTGTCGTGACCAGTCATGACCCGTTCTGACCAGTCGCCATTGATCCTGTCATGTTGTTACGATTTGAGGTATTTCGTAGTGCTGTCTATCATTTCGAGGACAATATGGTTAATATCGTTCTTGTTACTTCGATTGTACTAATCTATATTAACTAAAACCTTTTAATAATCTGGTTTATCCTTAATAAATTAAAAATCTAAAATAAATTGATTTTTTTTGACTCTGGCAGGACTCGAACCGGCATCGTCAGCATGCCGTGCTATTGCTCTGACCAATTGAGCGACCGAGTCCTTGTTGAACTTGTTGCTTTCGTAGGAATATCGAAATTCCGTCCAGGTCCAGGCAATGTTCACAGATGAAAAAACGCCGAAGTTTAATCGCGTTTCGATTTCAGACAGTGGATTTCCGAATATCCAAAGGCAAAATAGGTCGATCGTATCTAGTTTAGACGTTATGTGGCTGGGGTATTTACATCAAGTGAATGCAATGCTTGTCCTCCTCTATTAATTATATTTCATATAAAAAAATCTAAAATTAATATTCTTCAGCATCTCTCAGTTTAATGTATGCTGTATTTCAGTGCATATACTTAGTTACATAATTGTTTATGGTAATAATCTATTGTTTCAAATGTTTTCTTTTTTTTAAAACTCCAACTAACCAACACCCCCAAAAAACCACCCCCCCCCCCCCCCCCCCCCCCCACCAAAAAAAAAAAAAAAAAAAAAAAAAAAAAAACAACACAAAAAAAAAAAAAAAAAAAAAAAAAAAAAAAAAAACGCCGGGGCAAACCCCCCCCCGGTCCGAAAAATTTTTCAATTTATTTATTTTTTTAAATTATATAGTGCCTTCATGTGCAATAACATGTGAAAAATATTAATGTTTTAAATTTTTCTCAATTTAATCTTTGGATTTACCCCGTCTTTGGATTACTTTCCATGTTGTGTCTATAACTGTTTTATACAATTTAATTTTTTTTTAATAGTGATAAATGTCAAGAGTCCTTAATTTAATAAATAAATGTTAAATTATTAATATTTAAATCTAAAAACGACCTTCACCCACCCAGTGGCTAGCAATTTTGCCGTACCAATGCTAAAACAATATAACGTTGAATAGTATAAAAGTGTGGTCAAAAGAGTCACGCTTGAACTGGCCAAGTCACGAGCTGTTACGTCACAGCACACCTCTGTCAGATTGATTTTTATATATTCATCTCGTATAACGGTGTGCGAACACGGTATGCAGGGAATGTGCTAAGGTTTTTGGACTAAGTCAAAGGGCAAGGCTGTATTTGAGCGTGAAAGTAAGGGGCATCATGCAGAAAATATATATTAAATAATAACCTTTTTTTAATGGTAGAGGAGGACAGACACGCAAACACTTTACACCTATGGTATCTAAACTAAATGCGCTGTCGACCTATTTTAGCTTTGGATATTCGGAAATCCACAGACTAAGACCAAAACGTGATTAAACTTCTCGGCTTTTTCATCTGTGGGCGGCGGTTCGTGACACGGACGGTATTTCGATATTCCTACCACCCTTAATATCCAGCTTTCCAGACGAAGTCGTTGAATATTAGCAGGACATTGGTACTATTACATCAACAAACCTATATTCATATAGGAAAATATGTAGTGCAGATAAATAGTTTATGCTTGTATCTGTAGTTTAACATAGGTTGAAACGTTAATTGGTTAGAGCAGTACACATAACTGTGGACAGGTTCCCGCTCGTGCCATTAATTTTTTTACAAAATAAATATTTTGTTAAATTAAGGTGCTTAGCTGTTTTAAGTGTTTTATTATCGCTTATAAGTCATTT